TAGTTAAAGGTATCTAGATAGAGAAAGCTATTACTTAAAATAATTAAGAATAATTTTAAGTTAAGAACTAGAGTAATTATTATCTTTATAATACGAGTTATTATATATTAATAATAGATTATATATATTAAACGTTTCTAAATTATAAACTAAAATTATTAGAGATATTTATAACTCTCTACTCGAAGATTACACTAATAAATTATTAATATATAATAGAGTCGAGTAGACTTTACTATTAGCTAAGAATAACGAATTTTATTACCCGCTATATTAAGAGTTATTATATCTATAAAAAATCTAAAACTTATAAGAAAGAGTAAGTAAGATCTACTTAAACTTCTTTTTATTCTCGAATAATACTAATAAGATATTTTCATTAACTTCATTATATTACTATCTATTTATCTTAAATATAAATCGATTCTTATTAATATATTATAGTAGTTATAGATAGACTTAGTAAGAAGAAGAAATTTGTTTTTTTAAACTCTCTGAAAATGAAGGTAGTAGTTTAGGTCTTTATCGAATTCATATAGCGAGAGAAAGAATATCTATTTATTATTATCTTCTGATCGAGGTATCTAGTTTATAGTATATTTCTAAAGAAGACTATACGAAAGAATTAAGACTAAATCTAAACTCTTTACTACGTTTTATCTCGAAAATTAATAAATAGATAGAGAACGCTAACGCTATTTTGAAATAATATCTTGAGCTTATATTAATTATAATTAAGATAATTAGATAAATCTATTATTAATAGTAGAGTTCGAAATTAACTTCAATAAGAACGCCTTATTCGATAGTATTATTATTCCTTCTTATTAAAGAATATATTCTCTCACTTAGAGATAGAATTCTCTAACCTCTTAAGATTAATTCGCTAGTTAAAGAGTGAAGAGAGATATTAAGTTAGCTAATAGATTTATCGAGAAAATAAATATTATAAGAAATTATCTAAGAAGTTAGTTTAAATAATTACGAGCTTTATAGAAGAAGTAAGCTAATCGTTATCGACTTTTAATACTAGAATTTAAAGTCGAAGATATAATTATACTTAATAAAAGAAATATTAAAACTATACGCTTTAGCAAATTACTAGACTATAAGAATTTCGAATTATTTAAAATTACTAAAGTTTTAAATAATTTCGCTTACAAGTTAGAACTCCCGACTTTCATAAATAATATTTACTCTATCTTTTATTTATAGCTATTATATCTTAATAATAGTAACCTATTATTAAGATAGATCGAGTTCTTCGCCGCCGCCTATCGATATTAATAAAGAAGAAGAAATCTACGATATTAAAGAAATAGTTTAATTTAAGCTAGATAAATAAAAGAATAATTCCTTAACTAGTAAGAGGGAATATCTTATATATAAAATTAGATATAAAGACTTCGAGACTAAGGAAAATTTATTCTAGCAACTATTTACGAATATAATAGAATATCCGAATCTAATAGTAGACTTCTATTATTATTACCTCGAGGGTTATTAGCTCTTATTTATTATTTAAAAGATCTTTAGAATAGTCTTCTCTATTAGCGCTACTAATTTATAATAGCTATATCGATTTATAAAAAGACTCTTAATATCGTAATAGAATACTAAGTTAATGTATCTAAGAATATTACTTCGTATATATCTAAATATACTTTTTATAAGATCGGCGTCTACTATATAGTAGTCGTCGTCGAAGCTTTAAATTAAAAGAAGAATAATGTTACGATTCTAATAATCTTATAATCTTACTTATTTATATTATAGCCTAATTAGACTTAGCGTATTAAGATCTTTTAATCTTTCTATCTTACTATAAAGTCTATACTTATAATAATTCTATATAGATAGTATTCTCTTTATACTATAATATAGAGTTATTATATATATTATTAAGTCTCTAATATTATAAGACTAAATTTAAAAATTCTCTTTTTATTTAAAAGCTTATATTTTATTCTATAATTTAAAAAAAAATCTTAAAAATTTAATAGAAATAGAAAAGTTATTCTATATATTAATAATATATATCTATTATTTTTTAATTAGAGCTATTTAGCTATCGAGCGAACTTTAATAAGCGTTATTTAAATTCTTTACGCTTTAATAATTATAAGACTAAATTTAGAAATTCTTTTTTTATTTAAAAATCTATATTTCGTTCTATAATTAAAAAAAAAATCTTTAAAATTTAATTAGTATATATAAAAGAATAAGATAGAGCTAAGCTTAAAAATCTTAAATTTATATATATAGTTAATTATAAATTTAGAATTACTACGCTCTTTAGTTAAATTAACTAAGTTATCGCGAATAAATAAAATAGCGTTCGTAACTATTAAAAAGATATCGCTTATTAAAGTAGTCTAATAGCCCTAATTAAAAAATAGATATATATTATTTAATTTTAGAATAACTTTTTTGTTTTCTATTAAAATTCTAAGATTTTTTTTTAAATTATAGAACGAAATATAACCTTTTAGAGAATTTTTTTTTCTAAATTTAGTCTTATAATTATTAAAGCGCAAGAAACTCAAATATCGCTTATTAAAGTTCGCTTATTAAAGATCGCTTATCTATTTACTCGATAGCCCTAATTAAAAAAATAATTATAAATTTAATTTATAGACCTTTACTCGTAGAAAATAAAAAAGTTATTTTATATATTAATAACGTATATCTATTTTTTTAATAAGAGAGATATAAGAGAGAGAGATTTTAATAATTACGAATGTTAATTTATTTATTCGCGATAATTTAGTCGATTTAATTAAAGAGCGTAGCGAACTTAAATTTATAATTAACTATATATAGAAGATTAATATTTATTATTATTATTATATCGAATTCTTATAGAGTTTTAGTAAAAAATAGGCATTTTAGTGTTACGTCGGATTTATCGGATTTTAAGAACTGCATTTCCTAGCAGGTAATTGCTAACCTAAAAAATTCCGCCAAGGGGGTGGCACGAAGCCCGCCGGACGACCATTGAGGCAAGATACTCGTGAATCGAGTGGGAACTTGGAAGGGTTCTGTCGCCCTGTTGTTACGTTTTGTTCTTGGTATGTTTTTGACTGCGAGCCTCTTGAGAGCAGGGGGAGGGGCCAAAAGTTGATTCAGATTCACCACGAATTGGACAATCGATCGGTTGCGCCCCATGGTGACATACACGAGCTCCATGAAAGTCATGGGCTCTTCAATATTGCGGCATTGCAGCTTTTATTTTGGCCTTCACAGTGTCTGGGATTATAACCCTCAAAGTTGTCGAAACGCCCCTACGACGCAACGGCCCGACTTTATGTAGCAGGTGTGGCTACCCATTTTGCGTCACTGTTGCACGCTATCTTCAGAGTATGCTTCGAGTCAGGCACAGTCGTCGTTGAACTTTAAACCGCGGCATCTTGCACGACATATCTACGATGTTTCCATGGGCCAGCAACTCCATGGTCCTGGAGGGGTAAATCAAAAGACTGAGAATCTTTCCTTCATCGTACCTATCTTTCCCTGCTCTCTACCACCTTCAATGGTCATTCGCCGTGGATTTCCTGCTTGACATATGATGCCTGGTCTTTCTTGCGGCGTTTCTTCTTGCTCTGCCGACCACCTCGCCGTCCATCAGCCTCTCAACTAGCATTCCCTCTCTGAGTCCTACAGCAGTGACCTTTTTGACGACATCCAATGGGTCATCCTCAGCCAGCCATGCTCAAACAACGTATGGTGGGCCCCTTACATCTTCTCTACCTTGGATGAACTCTCCGTCTAAGGGCCCTCCGAGACCTCCATTCAAACACCATAGGCCGTACGTGCCCACTGCCCCATCTTCATCACCCGTTAGTACACAAGCATCGTCTCTCGCTGGCTTTGGCCCACGTACAACCTTCTCGTCCATAAGTGGACATTGCCTTTCTCCTCGCGTGCTGGAGCCACATCCGGATCTCATGGTAATAATGCGTCATCGATAATTGTCGGTGCTGGTGCAGGAACGCTATCCTCATCCGGCAATTACGAATCGCCGTTTCCCACAAGCACCGGTCTGCCTGCTACTTCTGCGCAACTTCTCGGATCTGGCAATGATCTTTCTGTTATGGCAGGCCAGACCATCGTCGTGATCACCCTGGCTCATGATAGGCATGGACCAGGATCGGGTTCGTTGCCCACGGGGACTGATACCATTACCATGTCGTCCCTGACTCTCTCAAGCGCCAACACCATGTCAGCATCGGCGGCTAGTAACACCGATGACTGCGGTGTTGTACAATCCTTCTTTGGCCAGATGGCGGCAAGTTGGGAGGCAATTGACATGGCTACATGGCTCAACGTGTGGTTTAGTACTTACTCTTCGGCAATTTCGGCCAACAGCTACGGTTTGGCAGGGTGGGTACGGTGCCGAGTAAGTCCCCTCGCATTTAGCACCGTTGACTCAGTGGCATGATATATTTGCGGAGCAACCTTTCATTTTGGCCTCTCTGTTATTGCCGTTCCATGTCTTGTGCCCGGAATTTGTCAAAGAGGGACTGCTGACTCTCAAAACGCCACTAGAGCATTTGGCAACTGGGCAGTGGGAGACCCAGACTTGAACTGTCAGGATGATAGGTCCAATTCCGATTGCGATTTTTACCCACGCAACGTAATTCCCCTTAATACCAATCCCGACGTGGCCAACGCCTACTATATAACGGAATCTCTTAACAGGTTTCACACGTATTTCACTGGTCTGAGTCAGTCAAGTTTTCGAGGTCAGCGCCATTGCTACCGCGTTGAGCAAGGATGATTGGGGGAAACGTTCTATGAAGACAAAGACGTTAAGAGCCTAACTGCACTCAGGTTGGTATTTGCCTTTCTCCAGATAATCATCGGGATCGGGGCTGCTTTGGCTGGCTTGGGACCGGCGGTCGAAGATGCTATAGCTAGTGGTGGGATCGCACTTTTTGGTGATGCGACCAATGCCGCTATTGCTGCAATACCTACACAGATCCTTAATCTACCCAGGAATGATTCACATAGGTCTCGAGGTCTTTCGGCTGCCTATGCCAACGTTTGCTAGCGAGGACGACACTTGTACGTGTATTTCTCGGAGTCCATGTTTCCTCTGCTTGACAAAATTTGAGCCTTGACACATGTCTCGGAAGTGCTCACTCTCGAAACATGTCCTGAGACTCAAATCACCCCTCAAATAGCCAATACTGACTCTGAAAATTGTCGTCCAATCCAAAAGTTGGCGGACCTTGGAGGAATTCTTGGTGAAATTGTTGTAGGCGCCATGGAGGGTTTTACCTTGGCCAACAACGAATTGATGGAGGGCAACAACTACGACGGCACCGGCGACATTCGATCATATTCTGCGGGTGGAGCGTTTGTCGACTTTGGTGGCGTGGACAAAGACAATGTGACAAATGCAATGAACTCTTTCCTGCTCGGACGATTCAATGAATCAGCTCTGGCGTACACAAATGATCTTCATCAGGGCGGTGGTGCGTGTCCAAGGCATCGGTTCAGGTCCAGCACCCTACAGTGTCTGTGTAAACAACGTTGCCTGATATCTATATTGATGGTCTGTAGCCCCTGCGCAGGCAGAACTCCCTTCTGCCTGTTAAGCCTCGCTGATACAGAAAAAAAATAAGGCAAGAAGACAACGTAATCTCCGTGACATCACATCAATGGGGGTTGGGTTGCCGCTCCACCAGGGGCTGCCAACCTTGGTACTGGAGAATGGGCTGGCGTTACCGTGCTGGATGTCATTCTGTCTTTCTGAAGTCCGTATGAAGTAGCTGGCTACGATTACGACAACAACACAGGGTGTAACAGGGTGAGACCTGCGCTCGAAAGCCAATGGGCGAATCCTGGCGCCCAAGGTGCAAGCTGGGAAGGTACTTTCACCATCCCAGTTTGCGATGTCAGCACGGCCATAGAGGCGGACTACCAGGATAAGCAGTACATTCTGCAGCCGTACATCGGGGACAACAGCCGGCCACTATGGTGTGGACCCGTTTGCGGTGGCAATTTGACGACTACACAGGCGTTCAATGCTGCAGCGCAGATGACGAAATTTGACAGTCCGAAACAGGCATGTAGTTGGAGTCCTGGCTATTGAGGGAAAATGGTTAAGGATTCATCTGCATGTACATTTGTCCCATCGAGTCGAGCCCCATGAGCTCCTTGGATGGGTCACCAGATGATTCTTTGCTTTTAGTCAGCACTGATACTGGTCAGGGCTGGGTATCCCAACTTCATGTACATGCTTTCCATCACTATGACCAAAAGCTATCCGACAGGGACACTTTACAGGCGAAGATTGCCGGTCTCTCAATTACTGGCAGTCACTCCACGCACAGAAGTTGTTTCTGCAAATGAAGCATTGGTAGAAAATAGACTTTACGACAGTGCATCTACAGCACCCCCTCTCCGAGAACACGTCGGAGCACCTCTCCTCCAAACTTAACAAGTATCGTCCCTAAACATGGTAAGAAGGACTGTCTTCTGGCAGTCGTCGTTCCAGAAACAGAAAGACGTTGTTTCCTGGCTCCACATCAGGATTGAAAAGGGCGGAAGCGGCAGCAACATCATGCACGTGTCCTTAAACAGCATGTCCATATACTCCCTGAGAGTTTCTGGGTTTGGCATCTGTCCCACTCTGTGGAGAAAATGCGCGAGACTCTGCAAAGGACGTCTTTTCACTGGAACCCATGGACAGTCCGTAAAGAGTCAGCGACAGCTGCAGGTTTGAGTTACACCGAGTTAGCACCTAATCATCTATTCGCGGCATCATTCGATGAAGATCTTGCTATAGGCGACGCATGGTCGGCAGAGTAGCTACCTCCGTAAAGCCAGGGTTCATTGAATGTGGTATCGTACGAGGAAAGTGGAGAGAGTGAGGGTTGATATTCTTTGTGCCTGCTGAATCAACAGACCCTACCTCGATGAGGCAATTATTTTGGAAGCGGCTGCCGGTTGCCGGAGTCCTTGTTTATTAACTGACCCGAATCAGCAAACCAGCAAATCAGCAAGTTTGGTAAGGTAAAAGTACTTTTAGACAACCAGAAAAGGCTTAGCTTAACGGGCGGTGCTGCCTGCTGCTTTGCGCACCAACCTCGGAAGCGGTGAGTTTTGACTTTTTGGAAGGTGGCAACTACTTGTACTCTAAGCGATCGCCATTGGTTAAAATGTTAACGGGGGGAACGATCAGATGAAAGCCCAGGCTGGTCCATGAATATTTCTCCACCAGATTTCCACTGAATTCTCCACTCAGTCGTGTGGCCTGTGCGGCAAAAAAAGGATATCGGTACATGCACGAGTAATTATGCGAAACGTTTGCTGATTCGTCGGTCAATGTTTAATTATTGTCCTTCGTGCATATGCATATTGTCGCATCACATCATCACATCATCACATCGTCACATGCGAATCTGCCAAAGGCTCATCTTTTCCATCTTTCCCTTCCATGTTGGCAACGGGTAGTCTAAAGGGGCAAATCTCCGGTCACTCTCTATTCACCAATTTCTACAGTGTAGGTAGGTACGTAATAATATCCGATACCTTCTATCTATCGAACAAGAAATCATGCCGCTTATTTTCCTTCTAGAATACACTAAAAGAATGAGGCTGCCCTAGGTAAGTTTATCACCGCCAAAACCCCTAAGGGACCCCGGGCTTTTATCGTCTTTGCAGCAAAAATCTCTTCCCAAAGCCTGGAGTTCTCTCTGGCACGCAGCGCAGGTAGCCAGTCTGGATGAGTGGAATGAATGCCTTCTCCATACGCCATAATGATGAAAACAAGCCCAATGGAAAGCTGTCGACGTGTTAGGCCTTCCTCAATCCTCTGTAACACACAAACCTACAAAGTCTTGCACCGCGCTTGTACGGAGTATCTCAACAAGAATTATATAACAACACCGTCCGGACTGGTCCTACGTGCAGCACTTGGCGCCGACATCATTACTCTCTTACTCTTGGATTTTCGTCTGAGCAAAGAGTGAAGAGTGATTGATGTGCACCAATCATATCACGGTTCGATATTAGAAAAGGGAAGCCGAGGCTATGTGCCGCAATCGTGCTTTTGCGGTCCTCCAGGGTTCATCGAAAGCCAGCCAGACCGATCGATCAAAACTTCAAAAAAAGGAACGAGGCTGCCAAGGGTCAACGGCTACGGCCAAACGTGGCAACGTGTTCTACGTACGTATTTTTTTTCCAGACGTCGGCCAATGACAATTGGACCAATGGGACCACCCCCTATCCCTCTGCTCCGCAAATCCCTCGTCCAAAGAAAGCAAGTCGCGATAGCAAACGCACGGCTACGCAAAGATGTTCATGTGATGGCCATCGTGCAGGTGTGACTGTGAGGCATTATTCCAAAATCTCCAACGTAAGCAGGATTCCTACGAATCAGGTCGTGCCACAAGGCGGGATGCAGCAAATCCTGCTGATCTTGAGACTTGTCCCATTGGTATGATTCGGATGGGGACGCCCTACGCGAAGGAATCATGAAGGATCTTTCCTCCGTACTCCGTGAGTCCGTGTGAGACTGTATGTCCACCAGCAAAAAGGGCCCCGCACCCGCCGTTGCTCACCAATGAAAGGCCCGAAAGGCCAAGTAATCCCTCTTCCAATCATCTCTTTGCCACCGCTCTGCCACTTGTTATTCGCCCACCAACCAATTTTCTTACCAACCCCCGCCCCTAGCTTCTCATTTTGCAGGCGGCAGGCTGCAGGCAAATTTGGGAATCGGGCCACCAACAAGCCAAGTCTCTCCAACTCTCCCTTAGTCTCAAGTGCCTAAGGTAGTCCCTAGTCCTTATGCTCCTACACTTAGTGCCTATGATTTATTTTAACAATCGGGCGGTATCTTACGAGGCTTTGGTAATTGGTTTTCCCTTGCCTTGGCCTTTGCCTTACCTCAAACTTCCAAAAAGTGGCTAGAGAAAGAGAGGGGGGGGGAAATGAGGCTTCAGACCAACGAAAGCACACCACTGTTACGCGTAAACGATCCCTGCCTCGCCCTCCCACGCCCCAGTTAGTAGTCAGTAGTTAGTACCCACAAATGCTCGTTTGCCGTCATGAAGCAACTTAGCCGCAAAGCCCCATGTATGATGTTTGTCATGCCACTCTTGCACATCTTCCTTCCTTTTCGTCTTAGTCGACAAGGATTTAGCCTCGCCCTGCCTTTTCGCTTGCACATGACACGCCCGTAGTTCGGAGTCTCTGCTAGCGTCAACGCCGGCTTCTCACCGTTCAAAGTCGAAATTGAACATTTAGCCAAGGATAGTCTAGCCAAGCATTAGCCTCCTGCTCGTTTCGCCTTGCAAAAAAACCGTGTGAGGGTGAATCATCCTCCACCTCCTCCTCCTATCCAGAGCGTTAACGGAGTACGAGGCGTGGGTCATGGCTATGCATAATAGTCAAAGGGGTGCACCATCATCTTCTCCCCAGCCTAGCCGCTACCAACCACTACGTGACTCCGACTTCACTTTCATCCATTCACTCCTTCCACCTCCTCTTAATACTGCGAGGCTCACGCCTTTACTTTCTTCCTCCTCCACCGCATCCCCAACCACTTTCCTCCTCGATCCCGTCTTGACTACGACCTTCCGCTTCTCATTCTCCTTCTCTCCTCACGCTCTCTCGACATTCTATTCCGCAGGGCAATCAACTGACCCACTTTGAACCATAATTGCTTCTGGAGCCTCACGTCCCATTGAGAGCCGTTCGGACCATTCGAAATAGACTTGGATATTCTTCTCCCCTTGCGGACTGCCCTAAGGAATTTTTTTCTTTGCTTCTGTGCCTGGACTGGATTCTGTCTGCCATGTTGCCTACACCTCCACCGTCTCCATTGTTATCAGGACTGTGCGCGCCAGAAGATCGACTTGGCCTTGTCTTAGCCGACTGGCTGGAGCTAACAGGTATTCTGGGAGTGGGAGCATATGGCGTCGTCTATACTGCCGTTGACGTTCACACGAATGTTCCTTATGCGGTCAAGGCCTTGAACAAGATTGGTCTGGATCCACGGCAGCGGAGTTTCCAGCAACGGGAGATCCAATTACATCATGCGGCCAGCCATCATCCAAATGTGGTCTCCCTCGTCAAGATAATGGATTCCTACGACTGCACCTTTGTAGTCCTTGAATTCTGCCCCGAAGGTGATCTGTTCTCCAGCATCACGGAAAAGGGCCATTACCTCGGCAATGATTTCATGGCCAAGAGTGCATTTCTCCAGATATTGAACGCTGTTGAGTTTTGTCATTCCATTGGCATCTATCACAGGGATCTCAAACCGGAGAACATCCTGGTCTCCAACGGTACTGTCAAACTTGCGGATTTTGGCCTTGCGACTCAGCAACCTTGCACGGACGACTTCGGTTGCGGTTCTACTTTCTACATGTCACCAGGTAGGCATTCTTTGTGGCTGGAGCTGACGTTCGATTCCATTCATCGACTGACCCTTGTATCCCAGAATGTCAAGCAACACCTGCAGGCCCGTCCTTTTATGCCTCTGGGCCCAATGACGTGTGGAGCCTGGGGATTATCCTAGTGAACCTTACCTGTGGCCGCAATCCGTGGAAACGGGCGGCCATGGACGATTCGACTTTCAGGGCTTACCGGAATAATCCGAGGTTCTTGAGCTCGATACTTCCTTTGTCACCGGAGCTTGACTTCATCTTAAGTCGCATTTTTGAGCATGACCCACGGAGAAGAATAAATGTTCCGGAGCTTAGGGATCTAATCCTCAGGTGTAACAATTTCACAACTCGCTCAACCGGTGCTCTCCCCCCAACACCTCCCAGCGAACCGCAGTATGCTCCTGGACCCGAGGCCCCCTGGCACACCTCTGCCCAACCTCTACAGGGTTTCGACCAATATCCCACATCCGGGAGGATAGCAGCTCCATCATTAGCCGCATATCCTGTCACGGCACAGTGCTCGACATCTTCTGGGGGTTCGGATCATGGATCCATCTTTTCGGCGGCTTCCTCATGTTCTTCAACTTCATCCTGCGATAGCTATGAAAGTGTGTCCAAAGCCCCACAACCTATCACATACGCGGCTCCACAACCAACGGGGCCCATTTACAGTTGCTCTTTTGCATTTTCTGGGTCTTTGATGATGCAGCAACCATGCATGCCATCGATCGCGGCCAATTAATAAGGAAGTCTTGACGGAACCCAGGATTTGTTTTCCACTGGACTGGCTGGCTTCCTGTCATGCCTTGGAGGAACGTTTTTACGTTTGCACGATGATGACAATGATGTATTCCATGTTTTCTTTTTGTGTACCTTACTCGAAGATGGCACCTTAGACCGGAGGAGTTTGTGATTTTGGGCGATATCCTGCGATTTACAAAACAAGCGATGGAGCAATCAGGAGTTTTCTGGATGCAGAGGATCTCCGAGTCTGGACTTTGGAGACCTCGATAGAGATTTACGGCCATTTTGGGGGACGGAATTCGTGGAAGATTACAGGCATCCGTCTGCAGAGAGCGGCTAGGGGAGAAGGGATTCGGAATGGATTTGGCCCACTGCGTGCTTTTCGGCTTCTAAATTTGATTTACTTTACAAGCATTCATGCGCGGCCACCGGACAGCTCCTGGGGTAAATTGCCATGCCAGAGGACATGAAACGGAGGCTTTACCCTGAATCAGGCCCGCTATAACCCTGAGTGGACCAGGACGACTATTCACCAATGGCGAACGAGTAATGCTTCGATTCATTTTTGTCTACGGACGTTTGTTACAGAACAAACTTAGTACATGCTATCGCTCGAGAATGTACATAGAGGGATCACACGGAGCACCGTCAAGGGTCTCTTGATTTAGAAGCAAGCAGCCTTGCAAATATATCCACACAAAGGATCTGCCAGTCCAGCGTCTCGCCGAATTGTAGAATGTGACCATTTTGTAGGAAGCCAGTACGCCGTGTTTCGTGTGTATCATGTTTGCACGAGTCGTTGACCGTACATAGCGTAGTGAGACGACTGCGTATGCAACGATTTTCTGCCCTAAAGTTAGCGCGGTGAAGGCTAAGGACTCGGTGTCAGCTGCGTTGGCTGGGTCGGGTGCTTTGGCTCCTTCGAAAAGCCTCGCTCGAGGTTTCTCCCCAATCGGACGCAGGATGCACACTGGTTGGCCGCCTCATTATCATCCGTCAAGCAGCGGATCTCGATCAGCCCTTCGGATGGCGATACGGCAGGTCTCTACGCGGATTCGAAAGGAAAGGAAAGGAAGGTTCTCCGGTCTCCGAATTAATTGCAAAAATAATCTCTCATCAGATCTCATATGCACCCACACAAAATTAGTACGTAATGGCCATGCAGGATCAATCAAGTGGCAACACGTCGACACATCAGCCTAGAATAAAGATGATGATGATGATGATCATCTTCTTCTTCTAAATCCGTGGGGTGCAGTCTTTCCCTTCACACCGCACCACACGGCTCATATCGTCTCAAGGCGACTGATTCGACGCAGTCCTTTTGAGACATTAATGAGAAATTAATTCCGCGCCTGGCCGTGGGGAATTACCTTTCTACTCGCGCGGCTTTCTGAAGCCATGAGCACGTTTCATAGTCATCCATCAATTCCATCCATCCATCCATCCATCAATCCATCAATCAGCAGAGCCACAATCAACCCATTAACCTCCAGCTTACGACGGGGTGAGCCCCAATCAAAGTCAAGCAATCGAGAATCAATCAATCAAAACCCATCGCACCAGCCCAAGCCCAACCTCGCTTCATGTAAGAGCACAATGTCAAACGTCCGAGATCTCCCCACCCACCCGTTCCACATTTGTATTCCCGACGGCGCCTACTCCATGGTGATGGGGCCGAAAGAAGGGGCGCGTGAAATGATGACCTCGAATCACCTCATCCCGATCGTCACCCCTCTCGCATGATTGCATCTCAGGGAGCCGCTAAATTCTCACCATATGGGAAAAGACGTACGAGGTCTGCGACGGGGTCGCAAAAAGGCTGCAGCGTGTGGGTGGGGGAAAGGGGGCCGGACCAATGAATTGCTCATGCTGCGCCCGGATCGACGTCGCATCATCGTGAAGAGGGAAAAAAAAGGAGGCTGCGGGTCTGAAGATCTGCAGCTGCCTGACATGGGAATGACTTGACCATTCACGAATCACGATCTAAAATTAATTGTTGAAAGATCCAAGAATGGCTTGTCGAGTGGGTAAGCAGTCAGCACGCTTGAAGATTCCTCATGTTAGATTGCGGACCCTGAGCAGATCCGATGTGAGCCTGGCCTTGATCGCCAGATTACTGGTCGCTGCCGACTCGAAAAACCAGTGCAATCATTGCGATGAAGGGATGGCCCTTGACGATGCACTCCCCTCCAACTTCCTCGTATGACACACGCTGCGTCTTTCTTCATTGCCCGTACCGAGAGCCGCGTCAGCTGCCTCTTCCCTCAAGTGGTCCGTCAAAGTACGCCAAGCCATCGTGTTGGAGCAGTATACTGATCATACTCTGTACGCTTCTAAGTTCGGAGTAATGGGAGGTCATAAGAGCAGCACATGATCCATATGCTTTTCCCACCCATTGGCGCCTTTTTGGTATGAGGAAAAGGACTTCGTTGTACTATGCCCCTATGAGATCCGTGTCCGCCCACAGTCTTTCTCTGTGGGAATTGTCATGAAACCGTACCAGAATACAACAGAAGAAGCAAGAGTGCTCGCTAATGGTTGAGCTTGTGACTCGCAGACGACAGTATCCCTGCCACTTTCTCAACCTGCTCCTGCGCTAATTTCCAATCCCCATTGTCAATGGCATCACGGACTCCTGGGTCCCATTAGAATTGGCTGATGCTGCGGTACGACACCAGGGGGCATATTGATAATGACCATACCTGGGAAATACGTTTCTTCGTATCCAGACCACGCCTGTGGAGCGTAAATCACATGCACAAACTGTTCACGACCAGGTAACTGCAGATTCTCTCAGTCTGGTGGTCAATGTGCTACAGTGTGTACACAGGCAACTACTTACACCTCCGCCAATGTCAAGTAAATTGGTCTCAAAGTTCGCCATTCCTAGCGCAAACAGTAAGTATCCAGACCATAGACGCTTGAATCAGATTAACCGACTTGTGTTGTGCGAAATTCGTTTAATGGCCATTTCATCTACTCAAGGTTCTGGAGTTAGCATTTGTCCAAGAAACAATTTCGAGCCTCGACACATTTCCGCAATGAGACCTGACACTTGGTCTGGAGGGCATCTGGCCTCCGATTTCACGTACTGGTCTCATAACCTTGCCCAACAGCGTCCTCCCACGCTTTGTTCCATGCGTGAAATTCAGCAGCATTCTCGGTAAAATCATCCGCAGCTTGGTGGAGAGAGGTCATGTTTAGGCCCTCTTTCGGACCCTTAGCTTCGGCATAAGTCTGAAGGTCACCAACGTAGTTTCTAACAGCCTCTGCGTAGTCAATGAAGTTAAAAGGCAACAGTTCTCTGTCCGCGAGCTCGAGTATGAGCAGTGCCCAGAGTTGAGCCATTGTCTTATGAAAAACAAACCCAGGATCGCCGACGGTATCCATCCAATCAAAATTATCGTAGCAACTATGATCTTCAAATATTCAATGTCAGTCGTCCTTCTTTGAGATGGAGAAGAAGTCCCAAGACAACGTGCGTTAATTCGATACTCTCGGAACATGTCTCAGGACACTCATTGGGGCACGGATTGGGAGGAGAGTGCTCGGAGTTGTAGACGTACAGGGATAAGAGCCACCTTTGAACGTCATGTCGAGAGAAGATGTCCCTGCGATGTCCTGAAAAGCAACGTAGCTACATAAAGAATACAGAATCAGTATTGCCATTTCAAGAGTGAATCTTGAGTCTGGAGACATGTCTGCAGGGTACACAGGCCCGGGACAAGTCTCACGGCTCAAAACCTGGTTCAAAGTGACGATTTGGGCTCCCAAGATACATACTCGCTACCTGCGCCCAGTCCTCCAAGCTTACTACCTTTCTCCGCCCACACTGCTCGAAGAGTCTTGTTCTTTTTTGGATCCACGACACGCTCAAGAACGCGCAGAAGAGCCATTTGGAGGAGGGGTGAAGCTGATGCCTCAAAGTCGCTTCCGCTCACGGCAATGTCTACATTCACTACGCAAATATCCGAGTCAGTATAGTCTCTTCAAGGCAAGAACCCGAGTCATACGACAGATTCGACGAGGAAAAAGAGCGTTCTGCTCTCGATACATGTCTTGCGACGCAGATGTTGCTCCCGAAAAGGGTGGAAGCCCTCCGAGATATACGTACAGTAGGCGAATCCATTGCGGCGAATCTCTTCTAGTCTTCCTTCAACGTGTTCCGTGGACCCTATGAGATTGTACTCTTCTCCGTCCCTTATGCTCTTGTTAGCGGTCCCATTAAATGAAAGGTTTCAATGCGGTTTGTGCTGAAGCGGAACATCAAAGAACGAAGATGAATTCTAAAAAGGAAGGAAAATAGAAGAGGATTGGGCTTGGTAATGAATGATCCAATCCGCTCAACCTAATGAAGTATTGGGATACATGAGACTTACCATGACGCAAATTCGATTGTTCTTAGCGGACGCCATCCACTCTTCCTCAGCTCGCCAAAGATCCTAACAACCTCGAGCATTACTGCTGTCCCGCTTCCCTGCGCAGCAGTCAGCTTGAGAGATTTCATAAGTTATGGTGTTTCAAACCGGGTCTGCAGCGCCAAAACACCTGCACAATTCAGAGTCAGCATTACTTCTTGGAGAAAAAAATATCGGTTATGAGACACGTCTGGGTAGTACAATGAGCCTTTGGCTCGCGAGCATGGCCTCGCGGTCTAAGATTGAGGGATGGATAAGGAAGCAATTGCTCCAGAATACGCACTGACCATGCATCACGGTGGCTACCAACAATTACTAGATCAAGGAACCGGAGTCAGTAATGCCTCTTCGAGGGGGTAGATCAAGTCTTGGAACATGTCCAGAGAGCAATTACCCCCAAGACATGTTCCAGCATTGGGAACATCTGGTCCGAAAGAGGGAAGGTAATTGCCGAAGATACGTACTGGACTTTTCTGGTTGCTCAACTCCTGTGATTTTGCCCAGGACTAGCACATTTCGGACTCAGCATTTCCATTCGTCGATAATGAATTGAGGAATAAGACTTGTTTGGGGAGTATAAAGGGTGGCAACATATGCGACTTGTTTCCTCCAACATGTCTCGCGACTCGGAAAGCAGTCTCGAACAAGAAGAGATAACTTCGAAAAGTGCCTTACTGTTATAGATTGGGCTTCTCTCTACTTCTTCCTGATCGTTTTGCAGTAGTACAATAGGGGAATTGGCATCACCGGTCCACCATTCGTCCACCTGGGGGACTGCTCCCTTCCAATGATCGTCCAGCTTCATGCCATGTCCTCTTACCGCTTGCAACAGCGTTTGGGCGTCTCGCCATGACAATGGAATCTGCCGAGGATTCGTAGTCAGCAATGGTTTTCCAACGCAACATTCATAGGCTGTAAGACAGCTTGGGGGGGTCGCAAGAGACTTTTGCTTCCGAGACACGTGTAGTAACTCAAAGATGAGAATTATGTACCGATGGGATATTGACCAGTCCAGGGTTCCCGTCCTTGGAGTCTCTCCTTTCTTCTCCAGGAAAGGAAGCAAATCCGCTGCTTAGGACATCGCCCACAACCCAACTCATTAGGCTGACAGCTCCCCTCTGGACCGTATCGTTCCCCAGAAGAAAGCCATCCTCTGCCGGATCGCTGTAAATGATGCACCCCACGGCTCCAGCTAGTTCAGCCGCTTTGACCTTCAAAGCTCGATCCCCTTGGCTGCCGTAATACCTCACAAGAGCAATTGAGCCTCCCATATCAATCCCCTGGTTTTGAAGTCTCTTAAAGTCCTCTCTTGACCCATAATTGGCATAGACGAGAGGGCCTTTGACTTTTCCAGACCTCGAATGCCCGTGGAAGACCATGGTCTGTTCGCGAGACTCATGAGCCTGCTCTTCCTCTATCACAGCTTCCCAAGCTAATTCCGGAGGGTCAATTATGGCAACTCTCCTTCCGCCCAGCTTAGGATAATTGAGATATCTACTTGCTTGTCAGTGAAAATCTATGAGTGGTGGGGCCTGTTCGAAGCATACACATCAAAACGTTCCATCTGCACGTCTTCCAATCGACTCTCTATGAACATATTCTCTACAAATTCGCCCAAAACATAGCTTCCTTTGGTGCCAGCCACATGGTCGAAGAGTGTCAAATACTTGGAACTTTCTCGTATGCTAGAAGCATTTGCATTGCTACGTACGAACTCTCTTACCATATCAGGGAATTTTGTTGCGGAACCGGGTCCCCTGCGGCCGACGGTAAAGACGTCAGAAAAGAATAGTAGATAGACCAGGGAGAAAACAAGAAAGAGGGCGAATAAACGCGATATCATGATAGCCCAATTTGGTTGGAATTGGCGGATGAAGGTAGGTATCTTTGCTATGACATAGTCGCAGGAGGGGAGCCATTGACGGAATGAGAGAGAGGAAAGGCTATGTGTCAGACTCGTGATACGCTTCGAGAGTTGGTTTCTTCGCAGCAAATTTCCTCTTATGCGACCTCCATTTGCTTCCGGCTCGAGCACATCCATCTGCGTCATCATCTCATGCCGCAACTCCTCGGTAGAAGCTCTTGAGGAGTTGCTGAATGACAGGCTCGACCGAGGAGATTCCACTGCAGACGATTGATGGCCACTTTGTTCTTCTCTCCAAAGCAACCCTTGTCGCTCAGCATCATTGCTGATTTCTTCGGCCCCCAGGAATGGCTGTGAGGAGGAAGGACGGGCATTGACCGCTTCGTCATAGGTAGGTATTGGCAAAGACCCATGCGGGTCGTGCCGGTTCGGCTTCTTGTCTACCATGAGGAAGGTTCGAGGGGGCTATGAGCCTCTGGAGCAAGTGCTATGAATGTCCTAACGAGAAGCCTTGTAGTCCCATTGTCGATCCGTCCGGCTTGGATGTTGGAAGTCGAGGCCGCGATGCAACTCGAAGTAAAGTGACGAGGATGACAGTAATCTTTCGATGTTTAGAGGTGCATGCGTAGTTGTGAAGCCTCTATTCGCCAAGACTAAGGTAATGCTCAAGTGAACCTAAAGCCCCTGTAGAGTACTCTAACCTGAGATCTGCGGACCCTTGTCTCTCTATCGGCATACGGCGGGCTTCCCGCTCATGATCCCGCGCCAGTCTCAAGACTGTAGATTCTTAACTGTAGAGTAGAGTACTCTTTGCTTGAATTTGTTGTGACTACGTATCTCTATTTCCTCTGCGGGCGGATCTACAAGCTAGCAAAGCGGTTCTGCCATACCACACTGAATGGAAGAGATCATCGGGCACTACCCAATGTTGAAAGGAGCAAATCCGACCATGTGCTTCCTCCATGACGAGCCAATCGGCAAATCTAGGATTCCTCCTTTGGAGCTTCAGATACGGGTACAAGCTTTCCGACAACCAAGTATTTATCTAATCAAAATTTGTAGTCAGCACAGCTGGTGCGAGACGGGACCTCAGAGCTTGGAAACATATCTAGAGAGTATTTTTTCTCCTAAGATATGTCTCGAGACTCAACATTGTGTTTGGAGAACCGGACTCTTGGCTTGTGAGAGTACAGAACAACGTACCAGCGAATCTATCCTCCCAATCTTGCATTGCCTGCCTCTCATCCGATCCCAGTCCGCTGAGATCGTCCAACGGTCCGTAAAGATCCTTGGTCAACATGTCCTCGTCAAAGCTACCACATGCCAGGCCTCTACTCGCATCTCGTCCAGCGAAATTCTCGTAGGGTCCACCAGGACCGTAGAAATTCTTGCCGGGCGTAACGTCGAAGACCTTGCCTCGTACAGCTAGATATACGGGCATGTTCTTCTCACCATTGTATGGCTTCAATGTTGGTGGGGTAAATGTGCCTGGTCGTGGATTAACTTAGTCAGGCTTCGACACATGCGATGGACAATCGTCCGGGTGTGACTTTACGGAAAACAACCGGTGCAGGACCTTTCGGTAGGGTAGATGGTGGACTTGGCCGAAGACGGAAATAGACGAGCAGAATCAGGAGCGAGAAAAGAATCAGGTTGATCGGCGATGCGATTGTGGCGCTGAAAATCTTCGAGTCAGTGGTGTTGAGAGTTGAGAGAAGGAGAAGTAGCTCACGCTTGGGTAGCTGCTGGAGCTGCGCCATCAATCTGTGAGCCGGCTAGATCAACTTAAGGGGTCTGAGCACTCACTGTCAGACATATCCTTCGTCACAGGTGAAACGAGCTCAATCGATGGTGTTTGGGAGAAGTGATGTGGTAATTATAAGAGTGGTACTAATGAAAAGTTAAGGCTGACCTATTTATACTCGAGGGCGATCAATCAACGGCGGGGCAAGCCGCCTAAGTAGTTTCAGCTGTGTCATAATTCATAAACCAGGCTTGGTGTACCGAGTCAAACTGTCTTTGCAGAGAAAGTCTTCTATACCTCCCTAAATATCGGACTGTTGTGAGATAACAAAGCATACAGACAACAACACTGTTTGTTCGAAGGCCCGATCTCTCTACCCACAATCACGTTGCCGTGTATCTAGCGAATGTGTTATTGCACCTTATCGCTTCATAACTCTTCCGGTTCTGTGCCGGCGTATGTCCTCAGATTACGAGCTGGACTCTCGAGGAGGCACCGTGCAATAATACTGCCGACCCATACGCCAGGCAAGGGAGGATGTGGAAACGTCTCAATAACAAAGACCGCCAAGCCGAAATCGCGATTGAGAGCTCGACTCTCACCGAGACTACTGCGGAAGAGGATACGTTACAAGGTACACCAAATATCAATAACGGCTCCTTCAGCATAAGCTCAAGGCCCGCTTTTGGAAGAAAGCGGACGGAGGATGTGCTCAAAGCGCTGCCAGCGCTGCCATTGTATGTTCCCATTCTCAACCAAGAAGCATCCGAGGCTGACACAGAAAGCAACAAATTGCAAATTTCCGGCGTCACAAACGGCAGACCATTATCTGAAGCTCCTACTGCATCTTCAGTTTACTCACAACCTTCGCCGGAGCTGAACAGCGATTCGACACGGAAGAACGGCCATAAGATCAGGTCTTCTTCCCTCTACCCCGACGACGTATCGCCTCCGGGATCTCCACACATGAATGACGGGTACAACGGCCCAAGTAGAAGAAGTAGCCCTGACGTTTCACCGGTATCTGAGTCTCCAAGTCCTTTAGCAGACCGATCGCCTGTCTTCACATCTGGCAGATTCAATAGTAACATACCAGTCGCCAAGAAGACTCGGAAATTCTGGAATCGGCCAAGTACTAATTCTCCAGAACAAGGCTCCAGTCTGACGCATTGGGATGTATATTCGGGAGAGCCAACAACGAGGGAAAAGGGAAAACCCCCACAGACGACCCCCAGCGCGGTGAAGTTGAATGCGGAGCCAAGTCCTGGCAGGCTCAATGGCAACCTTGAGAGTTTTGGGACCTCTACTCACATAAGTAGTGGTAGTACTATTGGGCGTAAGAGGGTCGCAAGCAGGGATCTGAACAATGCACCTATCGTCCGACCTGAATGGAGGGGCGCTGGTGGACGTCACAAGATTGTGAATCCACTTCTTGACAAACCTCTGCCGCCGGGAAAGTCTCCCACATTTCCTGCGGGCAGTGAGAAACATCAAAAAGATCAGAGAGACCAAGACAGGACAATAGAATCTTCAACACCTAGCCACTCCCCTCAGGAATTGACGACTCGACCTACCCGACCATCCATCACCCTTAATGACAAGGCGCTCGGTCAGCGTGTCACCTCGCCAGATGCCAAGACCGAGAGCTCTCCCGATTCAGTGATCCCGCCAACATTTCGGCAAAATACTCAATCCCCAAATTCAAGTCTTTCGACTGATGACGCAAGGTCCCCCCTCGCCCGCAATCCAAGTAATGAAGAAATCAAAGACCACCGGTTGCAAATGCTACCAGACGTTCCACAGACCATTGCCAAGGACGTACACAGCCCGCACTTGCAGCAAATGCAAGAGATGCGCTCCCAAACCATACCCGAAGCTGTGTTGAATAACCGTGACACAGAACGCGATCCGAGTCGAATCGAGAGCAGATTTCGTGCTGATCTACAACACCTACACCTACAAGACCAACCACCCAGCCGTTTCAGTTCGACGACTTACGCGACGACCACCTACGACAGTCCTCCAACAACTCCAGAGCTGAGCTCAAATTCACCATCCATGTCTGCAATCTCCACAACACCAAACTCAATACTGAATAGGAAACGTCCTGTGCCACCCGCAGGGATTTCCAATTCAAAGGTCACTGCTCGTAAGCCCACGCCATCCGAGCTGGGAACCCCGAAACAGGTACCAGAAGGCAAACGGAAGTCTCTGCCAAAATCCCCTCCAGAAGTTGAAGCTACGTCTCGTATCGCAAGCCTCCAAGCTAAGCTAGATAATCTCCATCAACGGAGGAAAAATCTGCAAACCGTCATCCATGAGCTAACAAACGTTGTGCAACCAAGCTCCATTGCATATGATATGGCTTCGAGGCAGGAAATCAAACGGACAGTTGACGCTTTGGGTAAGGAGCTTGCAGAGGTCGGAAAAGATGAGCACGAGACGGGTCTCATGCTGCATCGAGCGCTGAAACGAGATGATGAATTCGCAGCATATGAACCTACAAGTATTTGGGTCAGAAGGGTGACCAGCTGAAGCTTTTACAGCGATGCTTCCTTGCAACGGTATTAGACTTCTATGATCTAGAAAGAATGATTCAAGGTCTTCTGTATAACATGAATGGATTCCGAGCAAAACTGGCCTGCTTGCAACGGCAGAATAGGTAGACGTACTCTTCAAGTACATTAAGATAACCACGTATTGATCTGTTTACTTCGTGATTATCGTTGTGTTTCCCCACAATGATACTGGTGGTAGATGAATTATGAGCAACCATCAATGGAAGTCGTCGACTATTCGCAGTGTCTGGGATAAACCCGATCAGCTCCATTCAGGGCTTCAAGTCGCTATTGTATCGTGTCGCCTAGCACTTCTCATAACATCAACTATTTCTTCCCGGATTTCTTGATGCCTTGCTGTCCTGCATTCAGTGGTCCCTTTCCCTTTGCCTTCTCGGCCATTTCTTTCTGCGCTTTCGCATCTGGTGGCACAAATTAGCCAATGAATTCATCGGTAAAGATCTGAGATGACCCACCAGCCTTCTGCTTTTCTCTGTATGCAACCTCGTCCTCGTCCAGATCTTTTTTCTCCTTCTTGGGTGCTTTGAGAGGCTTGGCCTTACCACCTTGTCGTTAAGATCAGGATTAGTTGGTACATAAGTTATTGATGTCTTTTGTCATGGAATACCTTCTCTGCTATTTCCTCCCATGTTGAAGAAGACTTAACACACTGGAGACTTATGGGGTATATGTTATGGCTGAGATTTTGAGGCGAGCTAGGATGTGAGGTTAATTGAAAATAATTACGGGCCCGGGATACTAATCAAGTACCCCTGATTGCATAATCCTTGAGGGGGGAAAAAATTCCCCAATTCTGGCACACCTCAAAATCTAAAATTAAAATCTTAAATAATTCATATATAGGTTTATAACCTAGAAATTATAAAAATATATTTTATATATTAATATATATAAAAGAATAAGATAGAGCTAAGTTAAAAAATCTTAAATTTATATATATAGCTAATTATAAATTTAAGATTATTACGTCTTCTAACTAAACTATCTAAATTAGCCCGCTAGCCCTTTTAAGCTCTCTTATTAAAAAAATAAATATATATTATTAATATATAGAATAACTTTTTTATTTTCTATTAAATTTTTAAGATTTTTTTTTAAATTTTAGAACGAAATCTAGGCTTTTAGATAAAAAAAAATCTAAATTTAGTCTTATAGTTATTAAAGCGTAAGAAATTCAAATATCGCTTATTAAAGTTCGCTCGATAATCGAATAGCTCTAATTAAAAAATAATAGATATATATTATTAATATATATAAAAGAATAAGATAGAGCTAAACTAGAAAATCTTAAATTTATATACGCAGCCAATTATAAATTCGAGGTTATTACGCCTTTTGGCTAGACTAACTAACTCATCGCGGGTAAATAAATTAGCGTCCGCAACTATCAGAATCTCGCCCTCCCGCGCCCCTGCGCCTCCCTTATCAAAAAAACAGGTGTATATTATTAACACATAGAATAACTTTTTTGTTTTCTATTAAATTTCTAAGATTTTTTTTTAATTTTTGAAGCGCTGTTTGTGCTTTCCGAATTTTTAAGAATTTTAAAATTTAGTCTTACAATTATTAAAGCGCAAGGAATTCAAATATCGCTCATCAAAGTTCGCTCGACAGTCGGACAGCCCTAATCAGGTACACATTATTTGATTTTAGAATAACTTTTTTATTTTTTATTAAAATTTTAAGATTTTTTTTTAAATTATAGAACGAAATCTGGGCTCTAAGATAAAAAAAGAATTTCTAAATTTAGTTTTATAATTATTAAAGCGTAAGAAATTCAAATATTATATATTAAAGTTCGCTTATTAAATTTACTCGATAGTTCTAATTAAAAAAAAATTATAAATTTAATTTATAAACCTTTACTCGTTAATATATATTATTATATATAATAATAAAATAACATTTTTATTTTCTATTAAATTTTTAAGATTTTTCTTTTAAATTATAGAACGAAATGTAAGCTTTTTATCACGGTACGCCAAGGCCTCCTCCAGAGCCACCAGCCAATTGGGCCTAGCGTGGCTTGGCACCGCACATATCTGCCCTGCAGGCACATAGAATAATAAACATCTTTACACCACACCATGAATTCATGACCCAGTCATCCATTTCCTTGACAATTGATAGCCACACCTAACCCAGGTCCTCTTTCAAGTCGTCTATATCGTCACTCGACCAGTAGTCACAATATACCGACAGTCAGCCCCCCGCGCTTCTGCTACGCAGCTAGATTCAGTCTACGCAAATCAGCCAATCAGTCAATCCTTTCATTAGGCCATTTGACATTACATCATGTCTTCCAACAGCCAGATAATTCGCGGCTTCACGGCAGAGCAAAATCACTCCTTCACGAATATCCTTCTACCAGCGCTTCAAGTAATGCTTCGCCAGGCATTCGATAAGTATTTCAACCCACTGCAGCCACAGCAAAAGCAGTCAGTCATAATGCCAAAGCCGGCACAGCTATCAAAGCAGGAACAAGAGCATAGGCCATTGCAACAGGCAAATGTGGAGAAAACTGCGGAGAAATTTACGGAGAAGACTATGGAGAAGAACAAGAGCACGAACCACAGCAGTCCTATTCAAGCGGGCACACTCTCCATAATCCCACACCAGGCCACTATGCATATTTGCGGAGAACCTTCCCCTCGCCTCAGCAATACACCAGTTTTCGCCACCTTTCTCACCTCTCTTCTCGCTTTCGCCTCTCCGCTCGGTTACACTCGATTCGCGAAGGATATGGAGGCTATAGGCCAAGGATAGGTGCATGGATATATGGACGGCTCATGCTCAATGTAGCTATCCAGGGATGCAGCCACGAGGACGTGTCTTTTTTTCATTCTTTGCGGGCATGTTGTCACGGTACGCCAAGGCCTCCTCCAGAGCCACCAGCCAATTGGGCCTAGCGTGGCTTGGCACCGCACATATCTGCCCTGCAGGCACATAGAATAATGAACATCTTTTACACCACACATGAATTCATGACCCAGTCATCCATTTCCTTGACACTTTTAAATAAAAAAAGAATTTCTAAATTTAGTCTTATAATTATTAAAGCGTCAGGAATTCAAATATCGCTTACTAAAGATCGCTTATTAAATTTACTCGATAGCCTTAATTAAAAATAAAAAAATTATAAATTTAATTTATAAACCTTTACTCGTACTAATATAATAAAATATTTAAATCTTTTAAAAACTTAATAGTTTAATCTATATTATATTTACTATATTTTAATAATTTTCTAGATTATAATAAATATAATTGTGAAGATATATAGAAAAGTTGAAATTCTTATTTTTTGTTTTTGGGGTATATCAGAATTGGGATTTTACATGTGGCGTCTAGGAATCGCCAGAGCCGCCCTGGCCGCTTCTTAGCCTCCTATAAATGTGGCACGCTCCCGATATGTACCTTAAAACCTGACAAACAAAATCTAAGGTTATAATGTCCTAAGTTCTTGAAAACTAAAGCTTCCTCGAGAATACTCTTATACCGATAATGATGCATGGATAGTGCTGGGAGGGGATCTTTCACCGATTGCCAAAAGCCTCACCACAGTCTGGCATCAGTGGCTAATTCACAACCAATCACCATATACAGATAAGACTCTGTTCTAGTGACCCTTTTCACCGACTTATCATGTCTTCTCATTCAATATCACCACCGTCTGAGGGTGAAATAGTCGAGTCAGACTTAGAGAAGGCAACTACAACATTTGTTTCAAAGAAAGGCAACAGCGTTGACCGTTCATTCAGAACACGTGTATCAGTCTCTCGATCTCCTTCACCCCTTAGGTCCCCCAGACGTCACAAGTCTCGCACCGATTCTCGGTCACCCTACAGAGAAGTTCGGGGAGCGAAGCGCTCTGTTGACGATGACCACTACGATCGCTCGCGGAACGATCCCCGTCGTTTCAAGGTCCGCTACGAAGACCATCCGCAAGGCTCTAGGTCAAACGCGCGCGGACCCTATCATGATTCGAATGGATTCAATGGTCCGGACAGGGGCATCCGCTACGAAGAACAAGATGCGGATGGGCGGCTGCGGGACAAGCGGCCAACTGTGCGGAGCCGGTCCCCTATGCAAGGCCGTTCCAGGCGAGAAGAGACTCGTGGGCATCATACGGGAGAAAATTGGGACCGCCATCGGCGTGAGCAAGTTGACAGAGGGTACAGAGAAAGCCAGAGGAGGCTTTCGAGAGAACAGTCAGTGAGCGATCGGGGTCACTCCCCAGTTGCTGCTGCAAAATTTAAACGAGATGCTGAAACTCGACCCAATCAGATACAGCGTATTGACACTTCTGCTGGGGAACGGAGTGATTCGGAAGCTGAGTACGTTCCGTCTTCTCTAGGGTCGCAATTTGCTGATAGCAAGAATGATAGCACGGCGGAGAAAGGGAAATTCGCGCAACCCACAAGTACGCAGCCAGCTGACGAGGCCATCTTGATCGAGGAGCGTCGCAAACGACGTGAGGCTATCAAGGCTAGGCATAGAGGTCGAGCAACCCCATTGTTGGTTCAGGCTTTAGCGTTAGATACTACCTCTCCACCATCGACACCAAAGTCAACCGTAATGCCGGAGGTCAATCCTGCCCAAGGTAAGCTGTAATGCTTTCCGTTGATTGCACCCGCTGACACGTGACGATAAGCGTCCACCCAGAAAAGTCCTCGTCCTACCTCCCAAGTCACATCGGGACAGGAATCACCTACCGACTTCGTGGTATTTAAGGATACCGACCTTGCTAACAGTAGCGCCGTAGCGATTGGGCCCACGCCGGAAGATGAGCCTTCTGCGGCTGATTACGATCCCACGAAGGATATGCAAGAAGATAAGATGCGCCATGATGAGCACCAGCGTAAAGACGAAATGCCTTTTGCGGCTTACAATGAGACGGCAACGGAAGATCGAGATGTTCTGCTACCTGACGCAGATATCCAAGAGTCAGTCGAGAAGAAGGCAGACGACGGATTGGATATGTTCGCCGAAGATGATGAGCTTGATATGTTTGCGGAAATTCCAGCCGCATCACGGAAGTCAGAGAAAATAGCTGCCAAAGCCGTAGCCATACCTCAAGCCAAAGCACTTGACATGAGTATGCTTGATGACTGGGATGATCCAGAAGGCTACTACAAAGTCATACTTGGCGAGCTTCTCGACGGGCGTTATCACGTTCAATCTAATCTGGGTAAAGGGATGTTTTCTGGAGTAGTGCGAGCAACAGACCAAACCACCAAGCGTCTTGTAGCTATCAAGCTTATCAGAAACAATGAGACAATGTAAGGCCAATCCATCCTGGGACTCGCGTCTGGAGCTAAGATCGTTCCTAGGAAGAAGGCTGGGCTCAAAGAGATTGAGATACTCCAGAAGCTTTCGTATGCGGATCCAGAGGACAAGAAGCACATGATAAGACTTGAACGCTATTTTGAACACAAAGGCCACTTGTGCATGGTCTTTGAGAATTTAAGGTAATAAGCAATGTGTATCGCTTCGATCTACCATTCGACCTCAGCGCTAACGCTGTCAGTATTAACCTACGTGAAGTCTTGAAGAAATTTGGGAGAGACGTGGGCATAAATTTGAAAGCCGTCAGAGCGTACTCACAGCAGATGTTCTTGGGCTTGAG